AGGCCTATTTTTAACCTGCCTTTGGCAACTCAGAAAAAAATAAATCTTCGAACATCTCATTATTCATTTGCATCTTTTCAGTATTTACATCCAAAAGTAGTGATAGCTCAAGTTCCAACATTTTTAGTTGAGCCAAGAGCAATGCATTTTCTTCAAAATGTTTGAACTGTTGGGTGGGCAGTTAAGACCTTTTTCAAAAGAGTGCTTTGTTGAGTTCACATATTCGCTTGTATTGCACCAAGCATTTTTATATGAATCTCTATTTGAATCAAGAGGTCAGAACGTTTGTACACAAAGTGCGCCCCCCCCTCCCAAAAAAAATGAAACAACAATGCTTTGGAACAGTTTGTTTTATTCTGAGCAAACTCAGTTCTCCTTCTCCTGGACGGTCTTTGTTCCACGCAGCCTGCCAGTACGACGGGCAGCAATGAGACCGACCTTGCGACCGGCGGGTGCGTCCCTCCTGATGGTGGAGGGCTTGCCAATATGCTGATGATTACCACCGCCGAAGGGATGCTCAACAGGCTGTGTGTGTGGAAGCGCAAGATGAATGCAGGTACAAAAAGGAGCATCATGGCGGTTGCCGGTGCAAAGACACTTACGTTCATGGCCACACCACGGACACGAGGCCAGCAGTTCCTCTTGGCCTTGTACTTGTGGTAGGCGCGACCTGCCTTCAGGATGGGCTTGTCAATACGACCACCACCAGCAACCACACCTACACAAACAAAAGATTAAATAAAAATAATCATCCAAACAAGCACATAGATGGACATAATCATCCACTTCGACCAATCCTCACCGACAACGGCTCTGTTGGCTGAGGAGATGACCTTCTTGGAGCCGGATGGCAGCTTGACTCTGGATTTCTTGGTCTCCAGGTTGTGTGAGATGACGGTGGCGTAGTTTCCGGAGGCACGCGCGAGCTTGCCCCTGTCACCGGGCTTCTCCTCCAGGCAGCAGACGATGGTGCCCTCAGGCATGGTGCCCACGGGAAGGACGTTGCCAATGTTCAGCTGGGCTGTGAGGCGAAACACAATGACTCCCTGGTGAGCTTATGGATTTAATATCGAATGGACACCGCATCCGCCTTGGTGTCCAAAGAATATTGTGTACATCGGCACCAAATTCTGCAACTCTGGCATCAACCTGAACGACGGCCAATTAATTAGGAACCAATTTGCCGGACTCACCAAAGACCGACTCGTATAAGATTTTGCGCAAATCATTTGACCACAATTTCAGCGTTGTCACCTGACAAAATAGTTAGCCTAGCTTCTATTTTGTCTTTGTACTGTTGTGTAGGTCATCTGAAGCACACATTATAAGAGGATTGTAACATGGACTTCACACATGCTGAGTTTTTAAATAAGCCATTTGAGACTACTAGAACCTAGAGGTGTGCGTTATATACAGTATATTCAAAATAAGAAATGAATTTGGAGATTTGGATCCTACCGTCTAAACCAATATTCTTTGTAAACTCCTGCCGTGTGCATTGCTCAGTGTGACAGACATACCCAAATTGTATGCCTCTGCCACCTTGCAGTTTTTGTGCTGTTGAATTCTTGTTACAAACTACTTTGCAAAGCCCCCCATTACTTCCAAGCAGCGGGTGGATAGCTCAAGTGGCGAAACATGATGCTAAGGCAAACGTTCGCTTTGCGTCCAGTGTCTACAAAGCAAAAGTCACTGATCAGCGCCTTCGTGGCAGCAAAAAGGCGACACTTCGCATTATCAAAAATTGTTTGGGAAGACACCGAAGAAAGACTGGAAACCAGGCTGACTGCTGAACTATCGAAATGCAGCTGCAAACACCAAAATTAGTGCTTGTGCGATACAGTCCACTTGTCATGTAGGTCAGGCGGGAACTGCGTTACAGAATATACAGAATAACGTCGACAGCCAGTGACGACCCTAATTGACAGAGAACGGCATGAATACATCAGCAGAGAGGGGGGCGTTAAGATAAAAAAAAAAAAAAAAAAATTGGTTATATAATAAATATTTAAAATAAGAACCTTTATTAATTCCACATTGGAGAAATTTGCTTTGTTTCACAGCAGCAATAGTGGAGCAGGAAATAGAAAAATAGCTTGTCCAAGAAAATATTTGAACAAAAAGTAGCATAGATTGCACAAAATATAAACATGAAATATTTCCTGTGCGTCAACTATCAAAACCAATCTAGCAACGACGTTATTTGTCTTGGGTGCCGATGGTTAATTTTCCACGTTTGACATCTGATTCTCTCTCCAAGTAGTGCCATTCAAACTTGTTCAAATTTCTCCAGAGACTTTGCAAGCCCCCAGTGGTGACGTTTTGGATGAATCAATCACATTTAATTGTGATTTGCACAATAAATATCCAAAACAATTATTTTACCGCTATAAGTTTATCTGTTTAGCTCTTTGAATGGAATGTATAGTTAATGTATTCAGAGATTATTTTTATCCATAACATATGTACCGTTACCGTGATATGATTTTTATGGCCATTTTACACAGACCTGTTCCAAACACCTTGCACAATACGTCAATGTGAAAATATTCCTCTTACCCTTCTTGCCACAGTAGATGAACTGTCCCGTGTGGATGCCCTCAGCGGCGATGAAGAGCTCGGTCCTCTTCTTGAAGCGGTACGGATCACGGAAGGCCACTTTGGCCAAGGGGGCACCACGGCCGGGATCGTGGATGATATCCTGGGAGAGGCCGCCCACGTCACGTCAAAATTCGTCCACCCAAAATTGGATCTCTGAACATACCTTGACGATCCCCTTGATGTAGCCATGGCGTTCAGCGAAGTCAATGTGGCGGAGTTTAGCGGCGCCTTTCCTGTGCTTGACGTGGGCTTTAAACACGGAGCCCGCTCCTTTTCTCTGTCCCCTGATCACACGTCCCATCGTGAACTGGATAAAAGTGGAAAACTTATTAACTTTAAGTCGAAACACGAGCCACTTATTCGTATTGATTGACAGCGAGCAAAAGTCAGCAAGTAGCTACCGGTCTTTTGATACACAAACGCCTTCGACACATTCATTTGGCAAGAAAAAAAATCTATATTGGGGGAAATGTGGAGTTTTAGAGCGTGCCATTATTAATTAAATGCATCTATTGATGCAGCGTCTAGCAATCTAGCTTGCTCAGACTACAGTTACGCCATCTCACCCCTGAGCCACTCGCATGACTTGTAAGCAACAACTTTGAGGGCGATGGTTCCAAAATAATCCATATATGCCGTAGACAAATGTGTTCGGCATCTTCCTAAATGTTCATTTATAGTGGATGGCAGAATTTAATCGAGATTTGCCGCAGATTAGACAACCACAATGGTACAAAAGTTAACCTACCTAAACTCCGTTGACGGAAAGAGGAAGTTGAAGGCAAGACCCAAGGTTTTCTTCCGGAGAAATTGGCGATGGGGCTTGTGGGAAATGGAGGCACGTTGCGCTTTCATCGCCAATGTTTCGTTTCGTTTGTTTATTGAACATAAAAACATATACAGTAATAAATTGACAGAAAGTAAGGTAAGTAAAATAGTACAAAGGAAAGAGAAATCAGTCATCATTCAACACAATTGCTATGTTCAAGGGAGTAGGAAGAAGTAAAAAACTTATCTAGTCCTACCCCGTGTTATGTGTTTATATATAAATAGATCATTTTTATATCAATTAGAAAAGAAAGAAAGTAAGAAGAAAGAAGTCTCCATAAAGGCTCATGCTTTTACCCTTAACCGTGATATTTTTACAACTTTTGGTTTGTATCGGGTAGACGTAATTCTGTCGTGGGCCTGAGTAGTACAGTATATGATTTTAATGGAGGACACTCACATATATAGCACTTATAAGCATGCAAAAGACAACATGATGTTAGGATATAATCGACATCAGTGTCAAACTGCTGTTTAATGCATCTAGCGTCAGTAAATATGAAATAACACTCTAGTTAACAGTTGGACGATCAGTGAAATGCAGCTGTGTTGATGGTTGTATAACACGATCCATCTGATCTAGGCTAGACTAAATCTTCTACTTTCTTCGTCGAAGATGACTTCGCCGTGTCACGAATGTTTCAATGATATATATATCCAAACATGTTATCGATTACATCAATGAAGACGCCAAAAGGTTAAAAGTCCAGTGCACTTGACTGAGTGAATCATGTTACAAGGAAAAATCCGAGCCAACTAGTGATGTGTCGTTCGCGAACGAACCGGCTCTTAGAGCCGGCTCTTTGAAGTGAACGACAGGAGCCGGCTCCTAAGAGGGAGCCGCTTTAATGGGAGCCGACTTTTTTTTTCCTCCTGTTTTTTCCCCCTTTCGGTTAAAGCCGCACGTGATTGGTCAAGATCCGTGGTAGAAGAGGGAGGGGAGGGTTTTACACACACACACACACACACACACAC